CGAGACGCCGAACTGAACAAACGTACCATACCTGACACCGAGGAGGTCCGTATCCAAGGTGTGGCGCATCTGACTGACTTGGGATCTGACGCTTGACAGCCGCACTTCAACGGTCACCTACCACCGCCACCTGCCATCGTCATCGCCAGTCGCAGAGACGGCTCCGACAAAAGGRAGCAGTGGCGGTTCTGACCAGCAACGGGGATGACACCCGAACTGGCAGGAGATCAGAGGTAACCGTACCCGACCTGACAGAAGTTTAGGAGTGAGTGCGCGAGGTGGCTATAAAAGGCCCCCTACCCCCAAGAACAAGGTATGCAAAACTTTGCGCTATCTGATTTTATCTTGCCTTTGAAGGATTCTAACTTGAGCTTCGGAGCCTCCACACCGGGTTCCCCCTGGAGCTTTCTCATCTTCTCCGTTTTAGGTTCCCCGCCATTCCGTTCAGAGGCAAGGTCATTGACAGTTAAGACTGGCCGGATTGCGCACCATCAATTACAAATACAAATATGTAGAGTGCAAAACCTTGTATTCTATATTATTTTAATATTTTGTATATACATGTACTGTACATATTTACATTTTTACTCTTTCCAAACCAACCCCCAACCACAAATACTTGTAACTTTTGGACATACGACTACTCTATTTTCATCCATCCATAATTAACTTGCTGTACCTTGGATGAATCCAACTTCTGATACATGAAAAATTTATTTTTAATTGACTTAGAAAGGGTTTGAGGAGAAGAATTGGTGATGGGCGAAATGCAAAATTTTGGTGTGATAACTAGGCGGATGGAAAATCACTGAATGAATACAGATTACAGGGCCCTTCATGCTTTAATAACCCTATTTATGTAGCTGATTGTATCCATCAGAATGATTGGGATTTATCAGTTCCTTACTTCCTTTTCTTCTTCCCAATGATATTATAGAAAGAATACAAGCTATTCCCGTCCCACATCCCAAGAAATATTCAAATATTTAAGTGAATGAGTATTGGTCCTGGCCCCTGCGGATAAAGGACGGAAACCCGGCGGTCGTAGAGGTTTTTGCTTGAGTAGTTTGGGAACTTCCATGTCAGTATCGAGTTAAATTTTTTGTATGGATGCTTCTCTTAGGAAAACTTCCTACTTTATAACATCTGTACTGTAAACATATTATAGGAATCAGTGGATAGTCTTCTTTTTTTGAGAGGGAATCAATGGATATAGTCTGATAGACGCCCAAAACTGAAAAATCAGTGACGTTTAGAAGCTGGTTAGACAAAAACTACGCGTCTGTTTTGCATCGATGCTGTTGCTCCAAAAAATAACAACACATCAGCACCGTGTCAGAAAAAATCATGCTTCAGGAAACGCCTGTTTATTTGAAACCATTTTTCCATAAAAAACGGCGCTTCAAAGTCCAAGGTACACCTTAGAAATCGGGAAGGCATGATTTGGAGCAATACCAAATTTGGCGTTTTCTGAAGCTATGGCTCGTTGCTGCCAACAGAAACGTGAGGTGACAGTGACGTGGCGCTAGATAATGTGTACCAGTGCTGAAAACTTTTCCTGAACCATTGGTACCAAACAGAAAATGTTGTTGTTGCTCCAGAAAACGTCCTACCTAGCAGCAACGATTCCAAACAAAAAAAAACACCGTTTTGTGAAAAAATGGTGCTTCCAACCCATACATCAGTAGAAAAAACGGTGTTGTATCTACAACATCGATGCCAAACATATACTAAAATATTCCAATAGGTTGGCTGTAAAACAGATGCTGACACAAAATTTGGTGGCTAGTAGATCTGTGATTGAGTTCATTTGCTTAAGGTGTAAATTCGCATTGCGAAAGAATAAATGAATCCAAGATCCCGTCTTTTGACTCCTTTCTGTTCTATAAATAATTTATGAATTCAATGACAATACAAATACTACTTAGGAAACCAATCCAAAAAGCTATTCACAGACTGGATTAAATAAAATAACTGGAAAATCCTTACCATCCATGGAAGATGACTTCAGGAGACTTCTGCATAATTTGAAATCCATAGTCAACTTAACTCTACAGTCCAGCCCAGCTTATCCTCTGCAAGCCCCATCTGTAAACTTGTCAGTGAGGAAAAGAGTTGCTGCGATACAGCACCAACTCCGGTCTTTCCATAGGATACCCTGACAAATACAGAAAACCATACAATGTCAGTCAATTGTCTATCCATCATAATTAAATCTGGTTTTGATAGAGGTCTGTTGGTCCTAACACAAATTTTAGAACTTATGTCTTTAACTTCACATGGCATTGGAATTTATTTTCCCTTGCAGGTCATTTGATGCTCGTGGTACTTGAAGGGGCTTGGGAAGAAAGGAACAATTCTCTGGTGGTGGTTTTTCTCTTGCAATATTTTGGCTTGTGTAGGAAAAGATAATACCAGAATATTTAACTGCCACTTACCTCAGAAAGCAGTTTAAGTCCATTTGGCATGATTCATAGATAGAAACGTGAAATTCAGAGAATTGTTCCCATTTTTTGAGTCTCAAACAACCAATATGTAGCATAAGTAGCTAAAGTGTTTCCTTTTCAGTTCTGTTGAGTTCTATTGTATAGAAAGTAGTTATACATGAGTCATACTTTCACTTCATACTTATTTGGATTAATACAATATACTTCAAAACAAAAAAGTAAATCAACATTGCAAAACTTCCTCATTATAAAAAAAAAAATTGCAAAAATTCCTCATTATAAAAAAAAAATTGCAAAAATTCCTCATTCAGTACTTTTAGGTTGTATTTGGATTGGGGAAGACTTGACAGTGTTGATACCGTGTCTCAGGATTACTCTGTTATGTGGGTCTATTATTGCAGACAAGTGGAATCTGGAAGACCATGGTTTTTTGGCCTTCAGGTTCTTGATTTTGCAGAAGTAGATCATTAGGTGAGTAGTCATTTGATGCAGGAATCAAATTCAATTCCAAATCTTATAATCTAAACACAAAACTTGGAAGAATTTTCAAGTTTGACAGGAAGGTTTCATAATAAGCTGAAATCAAGATAATAAAATTCTTTACTCGGTGATAATATGAAGTTCTAATCTCTCGCTTAACAATTCATGGTTCTCCAAAATATAAATGGTTCATTTATTATAAAGTACTGCTGTAAAAGAAAAGGTTCCAATGAAACGAGTTACCATCAGTTACCATCAGCTTAAGTAAGGCAAAAACAAAAAACAATATTTAAACCAACAGAGCCAGAAGAAGATTACCTTTCACCTAGGTAAGTTATACTTCCAACAGGTGACACAACCACTGCTGTTCCAGTACAGAAAACTTCATCAGCATCAAGCAACTCGTCCACTGATACAAGTCTCTCTTCAACCTGCATATTACTCTAAGTTTCAATAGAAAAGCAAGTGCCAAATCCTTTTTCTCTTCTATCCTGAAAACAACTACAAATCTGATAATACAATAGATGGCAAAAGTTTTGTTCAAAAATGAGAGAAAAAATGGAAGGAAAAAAGGAAAAGAAACTAAAATAGATCCACCAGCAAGACAGAAACATAAAAGAAATATGCAAGAAGACAGATAATTACAGCTCTACATGCCAGGCATCAAGTTGTCCAACAACTTGATGGACTAGATACAGACCTAATCTTCAGCATATTTTGGCACACAGTGGCCGTTCTCAGACTCGAACCCATTTTCTCAAGCTTGCCAGCCTGAGATTTTACTATTGCACCAAGCAATGGCTCTTAGGTTCCAAAGAAGCCATTCTCATAGACTTGAAAAAATGGTGTATGCGGCCTTCCTCCCTTGGTAATCGTGCACAAGCTCCCACGTGAGCGGAGTTATTGCTTTTCAGATCTGCCGCACCCCCGGATAGATGCAATATTATCGCGGGGCCCACAATGCACGACGAATGCCAAAAGCCCGGTTCTTGCACCGTTCCCATTCAGTAATGACGATCGTGCCGCAAGTGGTCCGAGTATCCGGCAAGTTGTTTCCAGTTGTCTCGCCGAAACGACAAATGGAATTTGCAAATAGGATATCAAAAAACATAAAATATTAATAAAATTGGGGTGCAACACGAGGACTTCCCAGGAGGTCACCCATCCTAGTACTACTCTTGCCCAAGCACGCTTAACTTCAGAGTTCTGATGGGATCCGGTGCATTAGTGCTGGTATGATCGCACCCGTTTGCTTCTTGCTCGCTTAGATCTTTATGCACTATCTTGCTCCCCTCCATTAATTCTCTTAGACTTGAAAAAATGGTGTATGCGGCCTTCCTCCCTTGGTAACCGTGCCCAAGCTCCCACGTGAGCGGAGTTATTGCTTTTCAGATCTGCCGCACCCCCGGATAGATGCAATACTATCGTGGGGCCCACAATGCACGACGAATGCCAAAAGCCCGGTTCTTGCACCGTTCCCATTCAGTAATGACGATCGTGCCACAAGTGGTCCGAGTATCCGGCGCGTTGTTTCCAAATGGTAGTTTTTCTTGCAAAGTTACAAAAGTGATCCTTTCTTAGTTGAACTAAATAATGGCATAGTTGTGGAAACAAAAATAAAATAGCCACTTAATGGGGAAGGGTAAGGTCAATTTGATACATCAAAAGAACTTGGCCATCAACGAATGTAGTTACTTTTCTGTGCACATGGCACAAAGATTAAGGCCAGGGAAAAAGTGTTTGTACTGCACCAAGGAAATCAAAGGCATAAAATGGACCCGATTGAAGGACCCAAAGCTCCAAACCATCTGTAGTGATATCTTTTTTATCAAAAAGAGACTTTTATTTAAGAATACTTCTCAGAAATATATAGTAAATTGCCTAGTACCCCAAGGTAGGTAGATAACCTCAGCTAGCCACCCATAATAGTCCTCTGTTTAGTGTTTACAAGCTCCTATTCTGTAGGACCAGATTCCAATATATTTGACTTCTGTTAATCCCTCATTTGTCAAGTTATCAGCTACACTGTTGGCTGATCTTTCAATCCACCTGAAGGTTATTATTCACTTCGTACTTCTGCAGTAAGCATTTTAATTTTCCTTGGGTTGTGTCTATATTTCCACAAACCTGCACCGTTCCTTCTTATCCAACCCACAATTATTGAATCACAATACCCAGCTGACTCTAAATAGAGAGCTAGGCAATTTCCTTCCCAATTTCTCAAAACTCCTCCAACTCTAGAATGAACTAGATTTCCCAAATTA